AGAGACCCTTTTTTTTACCTTCCATCATGATGGCTGATGCTAACCTCCAGGAGAGCAACTCATGCCTTCTTGGTCTCACGTTTTCAACTGATATAAAGTGGAGTGATTATAAATCTTTTCCTACCCATAATCCACTTTCAAAAATGGCTACCTGTACACGCAGAAAGAAAAAAAGCTGTCATAGAATTTCTGTTTTTAGAAGAAAAAGTACTGCAAACATTCATATAAGTTTAGCGAATGTTTACAAAAAGGCCATATTTGATGTAAGCACAGTAAAAAAAAAATAGGCCATGGCAGTTCCTTCAGTTCACTCCAGTCTCTTTGTTAATCACAGGTATAACGTCAAATACGTTACGACTCAAAATAATTGGTATCTGTATGCTAAGTAGGAGGCACGGTGGAATAACGGTTAACGACTCGAACTGAGTAACCGGAGAGGCGAGTTCGATTTCTAGTCCAGTGAATTACAATCACTTACGTGCTAATGCACGTAAGTGATTGTAATTCAATGGACACCCTTAGGAAAGGTATGAATCCAGCTTGTTTCCCCAGCTATGGGTAAAACAACAGGAAAGACGTGATCCAACCTTGGGTGGCAACCAGTCTAGGAGAAAGAAATTCTAAATTCAAACCACGTTTTGCCTTGTAGGTTCTCTACAAACCCGGTTCAAAACCGGCAAGCCATTTCACTATTCTGCATTAAATGTCACCACGAACCACAATTATGAGATGCAGGGGAGTGGTGACCACAACGGCGGCGCTTAATGCACTAACTGAACAAAATGCATGATGTTAAATTTTTTTTTGTTTGTTTTTTAAACTAATATTTTATTTTTAAACTAATAATTGTTTTGCAGTGTGTAAAAGGAAGCCGGCTGATGTCATATTTGTTTTGGATTCTTCGGATAGCGTCCGAAATGAGGACTTCACGAAGTACAAAGCATTCTTAAACAACTTTGTTGAGCATGCAAAAATCGGCCCGCAAAACATCCAGGTTGGCTTGTTCTTGTTTGCAACCGACTCAACGTTATTGTTCCGTCTTGCAGACTTTAATGATAAAGTTCAACTGAAACAACAGATTCAAAATATGAGGCGAATATTTGGCACAACATACACTGACAAAGCCCTACAAGATGTGCGAAATCGTGGTTTTTCCCCCGCAAATGGTGGGCGGGGCAAAAACGTCGACCAGGTTGTCATTGTCATTACGGACGGTGTATCCATAATACCGACGGCTACCAAATCTGCCGCTCAGGCACTACGGGCGATGAACGTGGAAATATATGCCGTCGGAATTGGTGCAACAGATATCACAGAACTTTATAATATTGGTAGTGGCAGCGATCATGTGTACACGATTCCTGATTTCAGAACACTATCGCAGATTGAAAATCGTCTGTTCAAAGAAGTGTGTCGTAACAAGACTATAGATGGCAGCGGAGGAGTAACCCCGAAAGATGGCGGAGTCACAAAGAAAGGCGGCGGAGCCACCCCGAAAGACGGAGGAGTCACAAAGAAAGGCGGCGGAGCCACCCCGAAAGATGGAGGAGCCACCCCGAAAGACGGAGGAGTCACTCCAAAAGGTGGAAATACAACGCCACCTCCTATTCGTAAGTTGCAAAGCTTTTTTTAATTGTTAAATGCTTACTATTATGTTTCTGCATGTGAATTTTAAAATATATTTTGCAATTATTATATGAATATACAGAAATTCCAAAGGGAACAGTTTATTACATATTAAGAGAAAAATATCGCCCCCCCCACTTTATGTCCAACAGAAACATCTTCATTTACTCCAAGGCTTACGGTCACATGACTTTGAAACAGTAGTTCCCGTACGATCACCGAAAGTTGAGCAACGCCGTGCCCTGTCAGTACCTAGATAGGTGACCGCATGGGAATACCAGGTGCTGTTAGCTTGCATGCGCGGGTGGGATCTAATGGATAATGGCTCGGAATTGTTCATCGGCGAGTAGGGTTTCAATTCCCGTTAGGTTCGATATATTCATTTATGTGCAAATACCTTTGGGAAAGATATGAATACACCTATTCTCCTCCTGGCTATGGGTTAATGAGTAAAACTTGTATTATCAAACCATCATTATCTCTCCGCCCCCCCCCAATTTCTTAAAATCTAAAAGCTTGCATATGCGTGTAGCATAATGAATAATAGCTCGGAATTGTTGTTAATCGTTGAGCCTACAGGAGTCAGGCAAAACAATGTGAACGGCTTGCGAAAATAGCAATTTTTTCAATTCTGGTATTTCCGGGTATTTGTGAACATTAAGTCATTATTTATCTTCAAGTAAAAGAGTTACATAGTAAAATGCGCGACATGTCGAATTTTTAAAGAGGATATATAATTGGTTCTGGATTAGCAGGAACATTTGTGAGCAAAATGCCTGAATGATTGAATGTGTCACCGAGCTATAATGTCCACGGTTATGACATCTAACAAGGTAAAACATCATCAGCAAAGAGTAATAATGGATGGAAAGCAAAGATGACCGAAAGAGACTGAAGATCTTGAAAACGAATCGCGGCAAAATATCACCAAACTGCTGCAGCAAAAATGTCATCAGAACTCACGATTCACATAATCAATACAGTTTCTACACGCACATTACGTCGGCAGCCCTACAAAGCTGGTATCTACAGAAGGGCTGCGATTCCTAAACCTCTGATCACAAAGTCGAACACCGAGTTGCGAAAAAAATGTGATGATCACAAAAATTGGACATCGAGGAATGGAAAAACATTATTAGTTCTGATGAGTCTTCTTTCACGTGATTTCCTGCAAACTGGCGTGTTTATGTATGGAGAACACCGCGTGAAGCCTATAATCCCGGCAGTCAAATATGGAGGTGGCCCAGCAATGATTTGGGCGGCAATTTCCTGGTATTCTTCTGATCCTATCATCACTCTTAATGGTAGAAGTACTGTAGGTAAATATCTCGACATTCCTAATGACAATGTCCTTACAATGGCTACCGTACTGTTACCAGAAAGTGTCATATTCCAACATGTTAATGCTCCCATACAGACTGCAAAAAAGGTGAAGCCATGGTTTGATAAGCATTATAACGTAATTAAACATCTTCCATGGCCGGCAAAATCACCTGATCTCAGCAAAATTGAACGCTTATGGGGAGTTCTAGAGTAGAGGGTGAGGAACAGATTTCATCCCCCATCATCGCCGAAGCAGCTTTCCGAGATTTTGATTGAAGAACGGGACAACATTCAATTGGAAACAATTCGAAACTTATTTGATTCCATTCCACGTAGAATCAAAACAGTTTTAGAAGCTAATAGAGGTCCAACACCTTATTAGTGAATAAATAAGTGTTTAAGCTAGGTGTTCAAATTATTTTGTCTAACCCCTGGAGTTCAAATTCCCGATGAGTTCAATACCACTTGAGAAGGCATAAATTTACTTCTTCTCCCTCACAGGTATGTGTTAATTAGTAAGATTTGTATCACTAAAATCATTATTATTCCCCAAAACTATTATTATCCCATCCATTATTATCCCCCAAAACTATTATTACCTCAACCAATATTATCACCCAAAACTATTATTGTCTCAACCATTATTACCATCCTGAAAAACTATTATTATTCCAACCATTATTATCCCCCAAAACTATTATTACCTCAACCAATATTATCACCCAAAACTTTTATTGTCGCAACCATTATTATCATCCCCCAAAACTATTATTATCCCAAAAACTATTATTGTCTCAACCATTATTATCCCCCAAAACTATTATTATCCCAACCATTATTATCATCCCCCAAAACTATTATTACCTCAACCATTATTATCCCTCAAAACTATTATCATCTCAACAATTATTATTACCCAAGGCTATTTTTATCCCAACCATTATTATCATCCCCAAAACTATTATTATCCCAACGATTATTATCCCCGAAAACTATTATTATCTCAACCATTATTATCCTCCAAAACTATTATTATCTCTAACAATAAATAAATAAAATAAAATAAAATCGAGGAGAAAATCTTTAGATTTCGGCATAAAATAATTCACAGAATTTGATCAATTACCACCAAAAGTCGACTTTTTACATGTTAATTTAAAAATCTATTTTCCAATAAATTATATTAATATTTAGTAATTCCAGAGGGATAAGTTTATGAGTTATAACAATAACAGGAAATAGATCCCCCATTTTATGCCCAGTAGAATTATATTCATATAAATTTATCAATGTCGTCAAAACTGATAGCGTATTTTGTTAAATTCTTATTTTTATTAGGTCTTCACATGTGAAATATATTTTACGTTTATATTAATACGTAATAATTCTTTTGAGCATCAGTTTAATATTTAATAACACCAGGAAACTGATCCCTCACTTCATAACCATTTTTGCCTTCCATCAGTATGGCTGATGCTAACCTCCAGGAGAGTGACTCACTGCACCATCTCGGGCTAACGTTTTCCGCTGACATGAAGTAGAAAGATTTTATTGAATCAATTGCTAGGGATGATGCTAGTAAAGTTGGTTGTCGTGTTAGACATTTTTTCTTTCCGGAATCTATCTTACATATTTATATGTTTTCCATTCGTCCTTTCCAGAATTCTGGTCTGGTGCTCCTGCTATATATTTAGAGATTCTTAATAAAATCCAAAGAATAGTCTGTTATTTGATCCTGACCTATTATCTTGGCTTCAGTCACTTCCAAACTGCCATAATGTATCTTCCTTATTCCTTTTCTATAAATACTTTCATGGTAAATGTTCTGATCAACTCTCCTCTATGGTACGTAGACTTTATAAATTTAAGCGCAGTACTAGATTGGCTGTAAGGTCTCATCATTTTACAATTGAAACGTCTAGATGTAATTGTAAATTCTATGCTAACAGTAATTTTATACTGGCGAGTACTTCAACACTTCTCTCTTTTGGAAGTTTGTTCCGGCATCTTGATTAAATGTCTTCTTTAAAGTTCCTTTCCCACCGCCATAATGTATCTTCCCTATTCCTTTTCTATAAATACTTTCATAGTAAATGTTCTGATCAACTCTCCTGCTTTAGGATAAAGAATGTCAATTCAAGTGTTACACATGGCATATTATTAAGTTTTGATCTATGTTGATAATAGAGATCATAGAATGACAATCTTGGTGTTCCCATTAAAAATATTCGCGGCAGTAATTAAAACGAAAGAAAAATCATTATGAAGATAAACAAAGATAATTGAATTTAATTTTATATTTTAACAGATTGTCAGCAGACGATGGCAGACATTGTGTTTTTGCTCGATACCTCTGACAGCATCACCGACGCTATATTTAAGGACGAGTTAGATGTTGTAACTAAATTCATCATGTCGCACACTATCGGGCCACAGGATGTGCAGGTTGCAGTCGCTATGCATGCCGAGAGTACCACGGAAGTCTTTAGTGTGGGAGCACACAAAACACGGGCCGACTTACTGCAAGCTGTCGGTGTTTTGCAGAGAGGCACACAAAAGGGTTCGACAAATACCGCAGCAGCCCTGAAACTTGCCAAAAGTAAATTACTTCAAACGAGCAACGGTGCCCGATTGGCTTCCCATAAAGTAATCATTATGATCACGGATGGTGGAATTGACGATCTGTTTGAGACGCACACGGTCACTACGTCTCTCCAGACGGACGGGGTTAATATAATTGCTGTTGGAGTTGGGATGGCTGATCTTTCTGAACTCATAAAAATAACCGGGAAACCATCGAATGTTTTGGTAATGCCGAAAGGTATCGATAAGGATATCATCGGGGATAAGATATACAAAGGTAAATGCGGTCCTGTGAAACCGTAGAAAAAAGAAAAAGACTCATTAAAGAGAATAAATAATATTTAGAAAAAGCACTTGTAAAATCTGCGATAATTTCAATTTATTCAAATTTGATTTTATTAATAGACAGATATTAAAATAAATATATAAATAAAAATTTTCGTTGAATTTTTTAAATTTTATTTCAGGATTTCTAACATTGAAAGACATACGGTAATATCACCTTGAAACACCACTTCTCGTACGATCACGTTATAAAATAACGTTATATAACGTTATCTAACTTTACAAGTTAAATAACGTTAGAACACGACCGGCAAGCCTTGATCGCTGGTCAGTACTGCCGCCGGTCAACTGATGGTTATCTGCTTTCCGCTTCGTTCCTTCATCTTCCCTACCCCAAGTTGTGTTCTTTGATCACAGAGAAGTGAAGATCAAATTTCGTCCGTATTTGACGGTTGAGTCGAACCGCGACAGAACCGTTCTACAAAAGGATAAAAAGAGTTTCCGTTGGAGAAAATAAAAATAACATAACAAAATAACAAAGACGGTCGCCGGGTTAATTTTCAACTGGTTTATATAGTTTTTGATGTAACAAAATGAACCCTTCCTGTTAAACTCTCTATCGTAACTTTTCTTCTAAAGATTGGATCGGGTTCAACCAACAAAGAACGAGTTCGGTCGGGAATTCTGGAGCAAGACTCAACGTTAGAAATTCTCTCGGCAACTGGTTACGTGGGGTTCAGCAGCTCCTTCGTTCGCTTCTGTTCGCTTAATTATTTTGAATAACTGAACGCTTTGTTTGAAGGCCAGTGTTGTTTCTCAAAAATTGGAGATAATAATTAATTGCTATGAATATTGATGAGTACGGTGGGAGTCAAGGGAAATATATATGAACTGAGCTCTTAAGTGACTCAGCAGTTGGGGCGAGAGACGCAGACGAGACGAGACGGAGAGAAGCGAACGAAGGAGCTGCTGAACCCCACGTGACCAGTTGCCGAGTGAATTTCTAACGTTGAGTCTTGCTCCAGAATTCCTGACCGAATAATTTTTTCGACGACAAACTTTGAGCTTATAAATTATTTCTATGTCCTTGACATCAAAG